ATTGGAGAAATCGTTCAAAACGACCGGGAGAGATATGATCGTACGCGCGCTTCGGGATACGCAGAAAGATATCTCGAACGATGTGGAAAAAGTACGAAACAACGTGGAGGAAGTCTCAAACAGTGTAAATGCATTATTGATGAAAGTGTCCAACGAGATTCATCGAGGAGTAACTGATTTGCGTCAACAAATGCTTAATATGGTGAAAGAGACATTGAACGAATCGTTTAAAACGATAGGAAAAGATACGTTCACGCAGGCGCTTCAAAACATATTTGATGATATTAAGATGTTGCATCACGGTGTAAGTGATCTGCGTAGACAATATCGACGAATGTGTGTAACGAGAACGAGATTCGACATCGAGAACGAGGTGTCTAGGTATTTGAACACATCTAGAAAGGTTTAAAAGATACGTGCAAAGCTCGTTTCCTATCATAACAGAGAGAGATGAGTATCGAGAAACGAAAACTTGTGAAAAAACTCCACGCACCCGCGCGAAGAAATTTTCCACGTCGTCGCGTCGTGGTGCACGGTCGCGATGATTTATGGCAAGCCGACGTGGTCGAAAAGCGTAGTGATCGATTGTTCTCGCCAAAACGAATCGATAAAGAGCGCCACTGTAGATATTCGTATAGAATTCGAATGTATGGAAAATATTCCACTGAACACCACAGCTTATTGTCTTATTATTCACGACAGGGTGATAGAGTATAATCCATTGACTAATGTTATTCGCAAAATTGTATAATATTTTTTAAGCTCTTTATCGAGTTTCATACGCTATCATATTGTATTGTAAAACACATATTACCTTAAATATATTATATATTATATCTTACAAAAAAGTAATGATGTCATATCCCTTTCCTCTTAGATAGATAAGAGGAAAGCTCGTCTGCAAAATATTAAGGTATGAAACATGATTCATGTCATATATATAGAAAATCACGAAAAGTGATTCATTACTCTTAAGAGCGTTCGGGTACGCATCGTTTTTTATCACGTATCGTATACTTATGTTACATTGCGATGTCTCTCACGTTCATCGTCATCATCATCGTTTTCGTTACGATTACTACGACGACGACAATAAGAACGGCAG